ACTACTACTACTACTACCAATACCACCATTACCACTCATGTTCATGAAATTTTTTATGAACAATCGGTAGCAAACTTCTGCTACTAAGCTGGTCCTTTTGCTTTCACTCGTGCTACTACTCATTACTATTGCGACGACAAGCCACGACGACGACGACCCCGACGACGACAACTCCCTACTTCACCAGCTACTGTTGCTGCGGCGGCAACATCATACTGACCGAAACCAACCATACTCTCAAGTCAAACTCCAAGCGCTTAAGCTTTATCAACGCTTGAGGCTTTTAACCCGGTAAGCCTGAGCACGTAAACCCCTAAGCCTACCCCTACAAGACCCTCAAGTCGCGAACTTGCGAACCCTGAAATCCAAAGCCCCAAACCAACTCTCACAACTTCAACCCCAAAATCCTAAAGGCTTACATTATACTGTATTATACTCCAGCATAGTACTTTTATACGTAAACCGTTTTCGCTTCGACTCATCGGACCCCGTCTCCTGAGCCAGCCTGCAAAGCCACTTGTCTCTCGATGCCAGTGCTCCTCGTCACTGGGCTTTGCTCGGTTCGGCTCTCGGAGAATCAAAGCAGACTACAGTGAAGTAAAGTACGGTACAACACGGTATGGTGTAGTACAGTATAGTATGCTCAGGTTTGTGTGATTTATTGCGCAGGTGTGTAGTATTTAGCATTTTAGAGCTTAGGGGTTGGGGATGTTCCAGTGAAGGGGCGGAGGGGTTCCGGTGTCGGGTTTTAAGTTTCAGCATGTAGATAGAGTCTACAGGGTTGCCGGGCCTCAAGTCTAGGTTCTGTGTGCAAGCACACGCCCCGTTCTGAAGCAGCACACAAACGCCCCTAAACCCTAAACCCTAGTAACTGAAGCAGGAAGAAAAGGGATGATATTTGACCCATGAAAGGCCCAACGCCCAGTGACAGGTATGGGCACCAACATTGCATGCAAAACAATGTTGATTTTGACGGATTTAGGGTTCAGGGCTTCGTCGCAGATCGTGTTTCTTCTTGAGTATGGATGCTGTCTTCGCTGAATCGGCACGCCAGACATATTAGGGAATGGTGAGCAAAGTGGAACCACACATGTGCCTCTCAGACAAGGCGTTCTGGATTGGGGGTGAGGGCTACAGTGGCTGCAGTGGATAGGGTGGAGGGCTTCACGAGTTATAGAGTGAAGGTTTGCAGGTTCCCAGCAACAGGCAGCCAAGTGCGTAACTGCACAAGCGCAGTAAAGGGTTCATTCTTGCGAGACCAAAGGCAAAATAGGGGTCAGGTAAGGGGCAATCCATGCAAACATTTTCGCGATCCGTCCCCTAAACCGTAAACCCTATAAAATATTTTGGTCGTCTGCTTGGCCTGTCTCCGGGAGGAGATATTACGGGTGGAGCTGCGGGATTGGAGTACAAGGGGCCAAGGCGTTGTTGTATCTGCTGTCCGTTTGGGTTTAGGGTTGTTAGACCCACCTTTTACCTGAGGGCTCATGGCTGCTCGATGTAGTATGTAGGGTTATACGAATTGCGATCATGTGTCCTGGCTGTACCCCTGCAAACCATCTGCTTCGGGGGATTCCGTCGCACGCCACCTCGAAAGTCATGCTGATCGTGGATATGACTGGCTTGTACGCTCATCGTTGCCACTGCGGTTCCTAGTGCTATTCTGCATTCTGTTATGAGCAAGCAATGCATCGTGTCTATTTCTTTGCAGCTGGTCGAGTGAACACGGGCATAGGTTTTGGACCAACTTAGCTTGGGTCTCTTCTGGACAGGCCCTGATTACGTCACGACAGCCTCACCCGCACGCCTTCCTTTTGGCTCGAGGGTGGCGGAGGACCAGTTTAGTGGCTGTCCCCTATTCCCGTATTGTGATTCTAGTATACAGGGCCCAAAACCCTGTTCTAATTGTTGAAGCCCCCAAAATACTGTGTGAGTCTATGCGAGGTACGCTCTCTCGGTTGTTTGGGCCTAAGGGTGCCACAATTATGACCTTGACGAGCTTAGCAGATGTGCGGCCCTCCCGCCAACCTAAGGCACACATGAGCTTGGGGTTTGGGGTTGTAGATTCATTGAAGGGGCGATGGTGGGAGTTCTTTTTGTGCTTAGGGCTCTGAGAAGAGCATAACAGCAACAGTAGCAACAAAGGATGCGTAGCAGCTTCGGGTATGCGTCGGTAGTTACCAAGAGTTTTCAGCGATTGCACAGATGCTCGTGGCATGAACATTTGTGCAAATCTCTGAAAACCGTGAACCTTAATTCATAAATCCTAAAGCCCTAAAGCTCCGAACTGAAAATTCCCCAAGCCCTAACCCTAAGCCGTAAACTAAAGCCCTGAGCCCCACACTTGAGGAAGGTCATAAGACTTATATGTCAACCCTCAACACTCGACCCTAAGCCCCGAACCCCAAACCCCAGAACGTCCTGGCGGCCGGCTATACCTGCTCACGAGCTTCTACCCGCTTCCACGGCTTGAGGTAGATTTTTGAAAATAGCAATAACATACTTGGAGGTTCATGGGTAGTTATACGTCCCCTAATATGGGTTATAAGTACAGTTACTACTTATAACCTCATGTCTAACTACCCATGAACCTCCAAGTAAGCCCCAAACCCT